CCTGTGGCACCTTATAGACTAACAGACGTATTGGAGCATAAGCTTTCATGGGTGAATACCCACTTCGTCAGATGCATGTGACGAAGAGGGTATTCACCCACGAAAGCTTATGCTCCAATACGTCTGTTAGTCTATAAGGCGCCACAGGACTCTTTGTCGCTTTTTAAAGTCTAATAAGTTTATACTTACCCCAAACCAACATATATCCTGATAACAAAAACCATCAGCTCTGAGAAAGATTTAGTGTGCCTCTTAATTCTCAGGGTATTTCTAGAAATCACAGAATGCCTCTATAAACTTGCTGTTAGGAGATTTTCAAGCTGCCTCTGGGAGGGAAGTGGTAGATACCCTTCCCACCTCCATATTTCCCCTTTTCTGCTACACTCTCTCCCACTCCTTCCATTTCATGGGGAGAAAGTGCAATGAGAAACGTGCATAACATGCTTTCCCCAAATCCCAGCACTTTGCTACATAAGAAAAATATCACCCTTTGACAGCTAGGGTTTCTGGAAGGTAAGAAGGGTACCATTTCAGTTTGGTTGCTGGGTTTTTTTAGGTAAGAATTCAGAAAGGGGAAAGCTGGCAGGCCTCAAGTAGGAGAGGAAAATGCTCCTAGAAGTGTTTTGTTGAGGTTCTCCTCCCCCCACCATCCTTCTTTCTGGCCAGTGTTAATACTGAAGGGCATGGGTCTGTGGATCCATTTCCTCCACAGTATTCAGGACAGACAAATGCTAAGTTTAACACCTCCGTTTGCCTTTTAATAATTATACCTACCTCCTTTCATCATTTTATCTTTGGCCAAAGGGTGTGTTGTAACTTTCCTCCCAAACCCTATCCCATGTGCCATCAGGGCAGTGGGACCTGCAAGTAATACAAAGTGAGCCTGTCACTAGTGTAAACTCCATTGGAGACAAGTACTTGTCAACAAACATTCAAAGAATGAGCCTCACAAAATCCCAGGAGAGGCCTAGCATGGATGCATACACAGTCTAGGCCCACATGAGAACTATAAAAGAGTAAATGCAAGGCCCCAACAGAGAGATACAGGTACATGGTGTCCTACATTTCCTTTAAACAAAAATCAATCCCCCATGGGAGAGAACGTACATCAAAAACCAGAAAGTTATTTAGTTCTAAATCTTTGAATAAAAACGATTGTCTTGCAGATTAAGTGATCACCGTATTTGACTCCCATCTTCTACAACAAGTCAGTCATACTGTTAGGATATCTGCTTAACTTGGGGGAAAGAGGCAGAATGTGACACTGAACAGAGACCTGCTAATAAGGATTAATTACAAATATTCTGGGGAAAAACCTCACAGTTGACAGTCATCTGTGTGCCAAGTGCCCAAGGAAGGGTATTAACATACAATATCTTAGCCAAATCATGGGCTAGCAGCTGTAACTTTTTTATTTGTAATAACAGCATTTAGAGGAGATAACACTTCTCATTTGAACTGAATTGAGGAAGGAATGTGGCAGAAAGTTATATAACAAATGACCTGGAAAAAACCATTATGGGAATTCCAGAAAATAATATTTGCCTAATTTACCAGTTTCTGTTAGTTGTTCAAGTTTGACTCATTCATGGGCCAGTTCCAGGAAAGAAACAACTTTTGTGTTATTCAGCTAGAAATTTGCTTTGCAAACAGTTTTAATTAAATCAGTGACTCTTTTCAAGTGAACTTCCATTATTATGAAAGGTTTCCTTTACAGAACTGTTGAAAGTTCATATTGATTGTTTGTAGCAAAAGCAGGAGGATAAATAGAAAACTACTATCCCTCAAGTGTGAGGAAATTCAGAACTATGAAGGTCCCTGGGCTAAGCCATCAGAAAAATCTAGTGATAGCCAATTAAATGACATTCTGTATTTTCTGTATTTCCACAGCACTCAAAAGAGCAAAGACATATCAGAAACAAAAGTGAAAGAGGCATTCCAAAAATGCATATGACTAGACTAAATAAATACGTTTTATACAGGTCAATGGGCAGAAGGAAATCACTTCTCAAAGCCTTCTCCCGACCACCACTTCAGCTAGAGTCCAGCTAGTAGAGCTGGCTTTTTATACCTCAGACACCTCAAAGCACTTTATAAAGCAATGAATAAGATACCTGATCATGTAGTCTGTCTAGGCAGCCATGCCAGGCCAGAATAATTATCGCTACCACTGCCATGTGGATGAGGAATGGTGAACCTGTAATCTTATATTTACAATTTTTCTTCCAAAACTAAAGGGCAACAGAGGGCGTTATTTTATGTCTAAGAAATTTATATCGACTGTGTACTGCCAGCACATAGCTCCTAGCAGAGAGACTCCTAGCGTAAGCACATATTTTATAGAACACCCTAATATACTGCTAGCACCTTACCAAATTCACGGTCCATTTTGGTCAATTTCATGGTCATAGGATTTTTAAAAAATCATAAATTTCACAATTTCAGATATTTAAATCTGAAAGTTCACGGTGTTGTAACTGTAGAGGTCCCAAAAAGGTCCCAACACCCAAAAAGGTGTTGTGTGGAGGTTACAAGGTTATTGTAGGGGTGTCATGGTATTGCCATCCTTACTTCTGCACTAGTGCTGGTGGCAGTGCTTTCTTCAGAGCTTGGCAGCTGGAGAGCAGCTACTCTTGGCTGGGAGCCCAGCTCTGAAGGCAGAGCCACAACCAGCAGCAGCGCAGAAGTAATGGCATGGTATGGTATTGCCACCCTTACTTCTGTGCTTCTGCTGGCACGGCACAGCCTTCAGAACTGGGTGCCTGGCCAATAGCTGCCGCTCTCCAACCAACCAACTCTGAAGGCAGTGCAAAAGTAAGGTTGACAATACAATGACCCCCCTACAATAACCTTGCGACTCCCCCGTGACCCGCTTTTGGGTTGGGACCCCCAGTTTGAGAAACACTGGTTTCCCCCATGAAATCTGTATAGTATAGGCTAAAAAATACACAGAAGACCAGATTTCATGGCTGTGATGTGTTTTTCATGGCCGTGGATTTGGTAGGGCCCTATATATTGCATTTCACTTTGTATTTTACAGCAGCTAACCCCACACCAGTAACTTTTACAAGAAGAGGCGGCATCAGGAGTGCTGGCAACTTGTAGTTAAGCTTCACGCTGTTTTACAGAGCGCCTCGTGTTAGATTATAGCTCCTCTCCCCACTTCATTTGAACTTTATGCATGTTACATTTACTCTTGCTACTGAGCTATTGGGACTAAACAGTACTAAAAGAGTTTGCTAAAGGACGTAGCTGCCCAGACAGTCCTTTAAAGCAGCCAAGTAGGTTACAATACAAGATAGTTCGTTACTGTACCTGCACAAATAGCAGCAATTAGGCCTTTTCTGTTCTCCTGGTCCACTAAAATGTCTTTCACAGCAGGAGACTGCACAAAGAAATAATATAACATTAAGTAATTATTTAAAAAACCAAAACAAAAAAAAACCACCCACAAATTATGCTGCACTATCGGTAATAAATACAGAAAATAGTTAATTATGTAGGGAAAGTAGATCAGGAATTTTTGTTTTAGTTTATGAGACAAGGAACAGTCAATCAAAAGGTGGAAAATTCAAAACCAATAAAGGAAATACTTTTTCCCACAACATGTGATTGAACTTTTGCCACAGGAAGTAGCTGAAACCAAGAACTCAACATGATTCAAAATGAGACTGGATATTAAGAATATCCAGAGTTATCAACATAAGTAACATTTTGGAAGTTATATTAAACTTCATGCTTCCGGGCTTAAGCCAATTGTTACCTATGAGAGACAACAAGATCAATTTGCTAGGTTAAATTATTCCACATCTGCTTAATGAGGGTTTTTTATTAGGGCTGTCAAGTGATTAAAAAAATTAATTGCTATTAATTGTACTGTTAAACAATAATAGAGTACCATTTAAATATTTTTGGATGTTTTCTACATTTTCAAATATATTGATTTCAATTACAACACAGAACACAGGGCTCACTTTATATTTATTTTTTATTACAAATATTTTTGCTGTAAAAAAACAAAAAACAAAACAAAACAAAAATAGTATTTTTGAATTCTCCTCATACAAGTACTGTAGTGCAATCTCTTTATCATGAAAGTTGAACGTACAAATGTAGAATGATGTACAAAAAATAATTGCATTCAAAAATTAAACAATGTAAAACTTTAGAGCCTACAAGTACTCTCAGTTCTACTTCTTGTTCAGTCAATCGCTCAGACAAACAAGTTTATTTACATTTGTAGGAGATAATGCTGCCCGCTTCTAGTTTACAATGTCACGTGAAAGTGAGAACAGGCATTCGCATGGCACTGTTGTAGCCAGCATTGCAAGATATTTACATGCCAGATGCGCTAAAGATTCATATCTCCCTTCATGCTTCAACCACCATTCCAGAGGACATGCATCCATGCTGATGATGGGTTCTGCTCGATAACAATCCAAAGCAGAGCAGATTGACGTATGTTCACTTTCATCATCTGAGTCAGATGCAAGTATTTGTAATAAAAATAATAATAGAAAGTGAGCACTGTACACTTTGTATTCTGTGTTGTAATTGAAATCAATATATTTGGAAATGTAGAAAAACATCCAACATATTTCAATTGGTATTCTATTATTTAACAGTGCAATTAAAACTGATTAATCGCGATTAATTTTTTTTGAGTTAAATCGCATGAGTTAACTGTGATTAATCGACAGCCCTAGTTTTTATATCTTCCACTAAAGGAGATGCTACTGGCCACTGCTAGACAGGATACCGGACTAGATGAACCTTAAATTGGATCCAGTATGGCAATTCCTAATTTCTTATGGCATCAAAACACTTTATATCCTGTTTAATAATCGTTTACAACAACACATTGCATCTCCAGACTACAACAAAGTACTTCCCCGTGTTTACACTGGAGAACTCCGGTTAAGACTGCAGGTGCACAGCTTACCTTTTTTTTTTTTTTAAATGTTGGATTGAATTTGCTGCAGTAGCAGGAGAATATAAGCAACACTTACAGATATATGGGCAGGCCTTTGAATTATCTTCAGGTTTTATGATTTTACCTCGGACAAATTTTGAGCTCCTAGGTTACCACCTGGCAGGACCACCACATCATAAGGCCCCTAAACAAAGAAAGAAATGCTTACTTAGCAGAATTCTACAGGAGAAGAGCATACAAGTTCACTCAGGAGTTTGTCTTTATGACTGTTAAAACATACTAAAATGAGAAGCAGAGGAATGCTAACTTTTCTGCTTCTGAAAGGCTCTTTACTCAAAAGGAGGTCTGATGAGCGACCAAAATATTTCACCTAATGGAACTACTAGAAAAACACTGTTTTGTTTTCCATACACCAGGCCAAGAACTGCTGGAGAAACTTGTTTTGAAGCAAACTTTGCCTACACAATAAGTCTTTGTGGATGGGGGAGTTGAAGTGCTCCAGAGTGTGATTGACAGCTCTGCAATGTGCTGATAGGTGCTATGCTGCAAAGCTCCCTAAGCAGCACTTCCTTCCTGAACAGAAACTTTCTGTTGTTCCCAATTATGCTATTTTGTCAGAGAGTCTGGGTAACATGCACAGTAAAGCTCGGAGTTAAACATTTTACCAAGTCAAATACCTGTACAGAATGTTAAAAATTGTGCAAAACTAAGATACTGTGTTGCAGGACAACACTAGAAGGGAGAGAATTAAATTATGTGTCTCTGGGTTCGTGCAATGCTACTGCAATCAGTCAAACTGGGTGTTACTAATAACCTTCCAAGTCCACTGTGAACCTGTGAAGAAGGTCCTGTAAAGCATTATGCAAAGTCAGTATGACAAACCTCTTTTCTGGCATCTTCTAAACTGGCATCAGGACAAATGAAGACATCTCGACTACACTGCACTGGATCTTTTCCTGTTAAACCTGCAATAGTCACCTTGATCTGACAGAAAAACAGACACCATTACAACAGGAAAATGCACTGCTTTAAGGGGATGCAGATGACAATTCTGAAGTAGTATGCAGAAGTGTATTTTGTTTAAAAGATTATTTAAACCAAGCAATAGTAGAAGCTGTAGAGAATCAGACTAAAACCAAAAGTTTCCCACCTCAAAAGTAAAATTAAATGAGAAGTACCTGCAGTAAAATTAGTTATTTGAATCTGGAAGGTCTAACAGATGCATCACATCATCCAGCATTCCACAGGTTTCTAGATTAAAGTAGTGTCAGATTAAGGAGGCTGCTAAATGATCCATTATCAATTTGGTCCTGGTGCACAGGACTCTCTCTAAATCTGTTTATTCAGCTCCAGACTCCTTACTCTCAGCTACTACTTGGTCACAGTTCCATAGATGTGCACAGAACTCTGTAGGTATAAAATAAGGAAAGATCTGTGCCCCAAGGAGCACCAGGACAAGGGAGTGAACAAAGTAATGGAATGAAAAAGAAGGGGAAAGGTAGGATTTTATTTTGGCTGTTTCATGTGCACAGATTTGGGGTTCTGGTCATTTAAATTCTCACTTTGCAGTTTTTATTTTTAAATCTTATTGATCACTCTTGCACCTGATCAAGATCAGATTATTACCTATACTTGCAGGTGCACAGGTGATAAATAGGGAGCACTCTACGGGTAGTAAGTGACAGACTGCTAGATGAAAGCAGAGTTTCAAGGAGAGATTTGAGTGAGATGATCAAGGTCATTAGCTTGATGTGTACAAAGGGGTCTAGTCTTCCCAAGAAAAAAAAGAAAACGCTCCCCACTAACACAGGAGTTGCACCTATTTTGAGGGGATGATAAACACCTAAAAACCTGCCCTAGTCACTGCTAGGTTCACAACTTAAATGTCTTTACATTGTTTGGAACACATTCATTTTAATATGGCTAAATGTAAATGAATACATCTAGGAACAAAGAATGTGGCCATACTTACACAATGGGAGACTCCAACCTGGGGGCAGCGACTCTGAAAAAGATATTGGGGCTGTGGTGGATAATCCCACCCAGTGCAACGCTGCGGTCAAAAGGGTTAATGCACTCTCTGGATGCACAAACAGGGGCATCTTGAGTAGGAGCAGAGAGGTGATTTTACATCTGTATTTGGCACTGCTGTGACTATTGCTGGAATACTGTGTCCAGTTCTAGTGTCCACAATTCAGGAGGATGTTGATAAATTGGAGAGGGCTCAGAATAGACCCACAAGAACAATTAAAGGATTAGAAAAGATGCCTTATAACGATAAACACATTGAGCTACTTGAATCTATCTTAACAAAGAGAAGGTTAAGGTGTGACTTGATTGCAATCTGTAAGTACTTACTTGGGAAAAAATATTTGATAATGGGCTCCTCAATCTATCAGAAAAAGATGTAACACAATCCAATATCTGGAAAAGTGGAGCTAGCCAGATTCAGATTGATATAAATTTACGCCTTACTTCCAATGAGAGTAATTCACCACAACCCTTGGTAAATTGTTCCAATGGTTGAATCTCCATCACTGACAATTTCTAAATCAAGATTGGATGCTTTTTCTAAAAGGTGCATTTTATGGCCTATTAAATCTATGAATTCATATTCTGCAGCAATGAGTACTTGTGGATGAGTGAGCATTTGTCTTTCACGCCACAAATAAAAGGGCCCAGGTGCATGTTCATCCAGGAAGCCATTGAATAAAACAATCTCTCCATCACTGAGGATTGATTCAAGGTGAGAATACTTTTGGTTTCAACAAATGGTCATAAAAAGTTCTAGTGGTTTTCATACTCACTCCAGCCCTTCTCATAACATCAGTGGGGATAACCGTTTCCATCTCCTCTGCTCCTTTAGCCAGAATCACTAAGGCTCTTTTTGAGGCCATGTTTTAACAGCTTTAAGGTGTCCTTCTGATTTTCACTGGGCCCCACCGCTACACTGAAGCTTCCAGAGTCCACAGAGCAAATAATCTGCTCAAGGAACAAAAAGAGACTGTTAGAGGGCAAATCCTCTAGACCAGAGGTTCTCAACCTTTTTCTTTCTGAGCCCCCCACCCCGCACATAACTGCTATAAAAACTCCACGGCACACCTATGCCAGAATAACTGGTTTTCTGCATGTAAAAGCCAGGGCCAGTGTTAGGGGGTAACAAGCAGGGCAATTGCCTGGGACCCATGCCACAGGGGCCCCCACAAAGCTACATTGTTCAGGCTTCAGCTCCCACTCTGGGTGGCGGGGATCAGGGACCTGGGCTTCAGCCCCATGCAGTGGGGCTTTGGCTTTCTCCCCTGGGCCCCAGCGAGTCTAATGCTGGCCCTGCTTGGAGGCCCCCCTGAAACCTGCTCAAGGACCCCTAGGGGGTCCCGGATCCCTGGTTGAGAACCACTGCCCTAGACTTCATCATGAGGTGGTGATTGAGTTTTGTAAGAAGCCATTATTTCTACCATACTGCATCATAAGAAATTTATGAAGGACCTAGATCATTTTGTTTCGAACAGATTATTTACAATAAAAGCCTCTTCTTAAAGAGGCAATTCTTGTGCCTTATTCAAATGTTGCCCAATAGCAAAATGCACCACAGAATAATACTGTTTTGCACTTCTATACCATGTTTAATCGAAAGGATCTCAAAACAGTCACAATTCTGTGAATTATGCCACCACTATTTTACACAGAGAAACTAAGGCACAGAAGGGTTAAACAACTTGTCCAACAGGATACAGTGCATCAGTCCAGAGATGGGAAGAGAAGCCTGGTCTAATCAAGAATGTTACATAATATATATTTGCCAGTGTTAATGTTTAAGGTGAACATCAGATTTGCTTTCAGAGTGCACACCCACAGAGATGGGGAGAGAGATTATTGACTCCCACCTGAGGTCTTGTTTACAACTCTTATTAGAAGGGTTTAACTAGATTTTAAACCCATATTTGGTATTTAATTTCTGCAGGAGGAGTTTCCTGTGATTTGTAACGATTCTACCTATGTCTTCACATGTCTGATTAATAGGTTTTCTGGCATTTCCCAATCTCTGTGGGGAGGAGGGTGGGGAAACTGCCCTGAAGTGACTGAACAGAACAAAGGAAGATTCTTTTAAAAAGTTAAGCTCCAAAATAGATATTTAAGACTAAATGGGCAGCCAGATTTTCAAGAGAATCTAAATGAAGAATATTAAGTGGCACATAAAGTACATATTAAATTAATGTTTTTGTGACAAATCTTTTGTTAAAGACAACTTTCTGATGACCCAAAAGTCACTTGTAAGATGGTAACATTGATGACCACTGGGAATGGAGGCATTTCACAACTCACCCACTCTGAGTAACAGGGATTTTTTTCCAGTAAGGGGGTTTCCACCCAAAAATGCACATACAGTCTGGGCATTCTTTATAAGAAAAAAAATGTTACGCACGGTCACCTAGAGAAATTTGGAGGCTGGGGGAATAGGATTTGTTAAACTTAATTTTATTGTTCTCTGCTTTGCTATTTCTTCAGCAGTAGCAGCAATTAGTGAGCAACAAGCCATTTTCTGTACACATTCACAAAAGACGTGGCCAAAGAACTGTCTCTTCCTCTACTCTGCTATGGACTTAACTACCATTACCTCTTTGCACAGGAGCCTATAAAAATACTTTTTAAAATACACATTGCATACTTCTGCTACGGAATTCACTATCACAAGATACCACTGAGGCCAACAGTTTAGTAGAATATTTTTTAGATTAGTTTATATGCATAAGAATGGTCAGTTATAATAGACAGAATAGGAGGGATATAAAACCTTCCTGTTTCAGGGCATAAACCAGCCACCAGTTGATGGGATTAAGAAAAAGCTTCCCCTATAGGCAGATTTAGGGAATAACTGTCCACTGCACCTTCCTCTGAAGTTCCTCAGTGGTATCCAGCCACTGTCAAGAGACACGATACTAAACTACAGTAAATGGACCTCTGGTCTAATCTAGTATAGTAACTCCTAATTTGTTACGGAGTTTTATTTTCTGCCAATTAAGTACCAAATCCACTGAGCAAGTAAATGGACTCATGTAGTCATAGCAAGAACTTCCAGGCACTGTGTGACTAAGGGAGTACTAAAATAAAAGAGCTGATACTTTTCTTCAAAAGATCCATAAGAATCTGCAGAACTCATTTTCACAAGAAATTGGCTAACTAATCGGTTGAAGAGTTGTCAAGCATGATTCATGTATACATACACATGACTTAAATATAGAAGCTGTACACATTTTGTTTGTATTCCTCCTCTCTGCCCTTTATAAATTTCTTATCTTCAGAGACTGTAAATTCTTTGGAGTAAGCTCTATGCCCTCCTCTATGGGCATTTGTGTACAGTGCCTAGCACATTGTGGGTGCTACCAGAATAAAAATAATAATTATTCATGGAGATTGCAGAGCCAAGTTACTCAGAACAAGTCCTTGATTTAGCAGATGACTATGCATGGCAAATAAATCTCCCATTATCCAGCTCCCTCTATAGTCTCATGGTGCCAATTTTGTGCAGGCACATCCTACTATTCCAGTGGCAGCCAGTAAATTAAGATCATCCTCCCTATATGGGTAAATGCACATTTCTGGGACCAGTGACTGCTGACAGATGCAAATAGGAAAGACAGCCCCTAGAAAGCTGGGGACAAGATGGTGTCCTTTTAAGGCACGAACCCAAATGCAGATGGGAAAAATACTATACGTGAGCCAGAAAATAAATACATTTTAGTGGCTTATGAACTCAGCCAAGCTAGACAGAATATCTATGTCCCAACAGCTATTTTTAAATTTAGGGGATGGGGCATTTGAATGCACAAGATTATTTTTCAGAATTTATAAACAAAAAAAATAGGAAGAGGAATAGCACAAAATGATACTGCAGAGTGATCAAGAGCACAGTGCCAGAAAGAAGAGATAGTAACGAGATTTGTAGCCACAGGCAGGCGGATGAAACTACAGAGGGTCAGACCCTGAACCTACATGGTGGCAGGCGAGGACGGCTGTTCGTGATCAGCCTAGCCCCCCCTCGGGCCCCAGCCACATCCCTGCTGTTTCAGGCTCCAGACGCCCCTAGCAGCCGGGATTGAGGCTCACCTCCTGGCGTCCCACGGGCTACGTGCCGCCTGCCTGGCTCCCGGCCTGCCTGGCCGCTGGGCCTGCGGCGGCTCGGGGACAGTCAGTGCGGCCATCACGCTGCTATTCGCGGGGCAGGGAACCAAGGGAAAGCTCCGGCCCAGCCGGGGAGCCCGCAGCCCCCAGGCAGCTCCTTACCTGTGGGGCGGCCGGGCGGGAGGAAGCTGCTTCCCTCCGGGGGGGCCTGTCTTGCCGCAGGAAGCACGCTGCTGTCACGGGGTTTGCCGGCTGACTGCGGCTAGTTCCTAGGCGGTCAGACCTTCCTCCGCCTTGCCGTGCTCGGACAGATGCGTTGGTAATTTAACACGTTGCTTTACAATAGTACAATATCGATCATTTCTGCTTGAAGTTCTCCGTCCTCCCTCCAGGATAAATGGAACAGTCCTACACCACCCCCTAAAGCACAGGCTCTTCTTGTTAACCCATTTCTTGCCAAAACACAGCAGAAAGGAAGGTACGTACTGTCATAAGGAAACCTGACTAAGTACTAAACGCTTCCAAATCACCAATATTTCCATGTAAAAGAATCAAAACGAGTGCCCGAAGAAAAGTAGAAGATTACACCTAGAGATGAAACGCTGCGAAGAGGAGAAAGGACAAATTAAGACAAATTTGGCACAAGGAATGAAAATGTTTCACTCCTTTGCTCAGAAGTGAGGAGGCATTTTACTGATGCTTATATCAGTCATAATTATGTCAGGGTTTGGAAATACTCTTTCCCTAATGACGATAACATTTATTTTATTTAATAAAATGTAAAGGTACCTATGAACAGACATCTCAGCACAATAAAATAAATGCAAAGAATAAAGAACTTACAAGGCTAAATATTAACTACAACTATTATTATTATATTTCATGTATATGTAGACAGAAATTAGGGGAAATGGGAAACAACATATAGTATTTTCTCTTTTTAACTTAATATGCTTGTCAACATACAGCTAATCTTTATCAGAGAATGTGCCAAAAAGACAAACACCCCAGCCATCAAGCCAATCACACAAAAGAACTCCTTTCCCAGTTAGAATTAAAAATGAGAGACCCAATGAGACAGTAAACACAGAGGTATTGGAGCATAAGCTTTTGTGGGTGATGTCTGACGAAGTGGGCATTCACCCACGAAAGCTTATGCTCCAATACATCTGTTAGTCTTAAAGGCGCCACAGGACCCTCTGTTGCTTTTTACAGATCCAGACTAACACGGCTACCCCTCTGATACTAAACACAGAGGAGGATGCACAAAGAACAACCAAGGATAAGTCTATCTAAATAAACAGAACTGTATCTGACAATGCCTACCTTTCCTAATATGAACTCCCTCAGAGAACTGATGGGTGGAATCCCCTGGGAGAATAACATGACGGGGAAAGGAGTCCAGGAGAGCTGGCTGTATTTTAAAGAATCCTTATTGAGGTTGCAGGAACAAACCATCCTGATGTATAGAAAGAATAGTAAATATGGCAGGCGACCAGCTTGGCTTAACAGTGAAATCCTTGCTGATCTTAAACACAAAAAAGAAGCTTACAAGAAGTGAAAGATTGGACAAATGACCAGGGAGGAGTATAAAAATATTGCTCAGGCATGCAGGAGTGAAATCAGAAAGGCCAAATCACACTTGGAGTTGCAGCTAGCAAGGGATGTTACGAGTAACAAGAAGGGTTTCTTCAGGTATGTTAGCAACAAGAAGAAAGTCAGGGAAAGTGTGGGGCCCTTACTGAATGAGGGAGGCAACCTAGCGACAGAGGATGTGGAAAAAGCTAATGTACTCAATGATTTTTTTTTTTGCCTCTGTCTTCACGAACAAGGTCAGCTCCCAGACTGCTGCACTGGGCAGCACAGTATGGGGAGAAGGTGACCAGCCTTCTGTGGAAAAAGAAGTGGTTCAGGACTATTTAGAAAAGCTGGACGAGCACAAGTCCATGGGGCCGGATGTGCTGCGTCCGAGGGTGCTAAAGGAGTTGGCGGATGTGATTGCAGAGCCATTGGCCATTATCTTTGAAATCTCATGGCGATTGGGGGAGGTCCCGGATGACTGGAAAAAGGCTAATGTAGTGCCCATCTTTTAAAAAGGGAAGGAGGAGGATCTGGGGAACTACAGGCCAGTCAGCCTCACCTCAGTTCCTGGAAAAATCATGGAGCAGGTCCTCAAGGAATCAATTCTGAAGCACTTAGAGGAGAGGAAAGTGATCAGGAACAGTCAGCATGGATTCACCAAGGGCAAGTCATGCCTGACTAACCTAATTGCCTTCTATGACGAGATAACTGGCTCTGTGGAGGAGGGGAAAGAAGCGAACGTGTTATTCCTTGACTTTAGCAAAGCTTTTGATACCGTCTCCCACAGTATTCTTGCCAGCAAGTTAAAGAAGTATGGGCTGGATGAATGGACTATAAGGTGGATGGAAAGCTGGCTAGATTGTTGGGCTCAACAGGTAGTGATCAATGGCTCCATGTCTAATTGGCAGCCGGTATCAAGCAGAGTGCCCCAAGGGTCGGTCCTGGGGCTGGTTTTGTTCAATATCTTCATTAATGATCTGGAGGATGGTGTGGACTGCACCCTCAGCAAGTTTGCAGATGACACTAAACTGGGAGGAGTGGTAGATATGCTGGAGGGTAGGGATAGGATACAGAGGGACCTAGACAAATTAGAATGGGCCAAAAGAAACCTGATGAGGTTCAACAAGGACAAGTGCAGAGTCCTGCACCTAGGATGGAAGAATCCCATGCACTGCTACAGACTAGGGATCAAATGGCTAGGCAGCAGTTCTGCAGAAAAGGACCTAGGGATTACAGTGGACGAGAAGCTGGATATGAGTCAACAGTGTGCCCTTGTTGCTAAGAAGGCTAACGGCATTTTGGGCTGTATAAATAGGGGCACTGCCAGCAGATCGAGGGACGTGATCATTCCCCTCTATTGGACATTGGTGAGGCCTCATCTGGAGTAGTGTGTCCAGTTTTGGGCCCCACACTACAAGAAGGATGTGGAAAATTTGGAGAGTCCAGCGGAGGGGAACAAAAATGATTAGGGGGCTGGAGCACATGACTTATGAGGAGAGGCTGAGTGAACTGGGATTGTTTAGTCTCCAGAAGAGAAGAATGAGGGGGGATTTGATAGCTGCTTTCAACTATCTGAAAGGGGGGTCCAAAGAGGATGGATCTAGACCAGTGGTTCCCAAACTGGGGTTCATGAACCCCTAGGGGTTCATGAAATGTTACAGGGGGTTCTCGGGAAAAAATTCCCCAATGGCGGACAGAGCTGTCCTTAGGGATCCCTGGCAGCCCGGAGCCCCTGGACTTCCAAGAGCTAAGCAGATCAAAGCAAGCATATCTATCACACTGAGGAGATTTAAACGTCAAGTCTCCTTATAAGAAATGGAAAGGTAGGTGGATATTTTTTGCTCTTTTTAAAATTAAATAGGCAGCTAGTATTGTTTTTAAAATTATGATGAAGAACAAGTTTAAGCTTTGTTGTAATGTGCGTTGTTTGCCTGGACTGCTCAAGACCTGAATGCTTATGTAGGAGGAACTCTTTGAGTTGGCTTCTTAAATACCTTCATGCTGTTTCACATCTGATACTCCTTGATGAAACATAGGAGCCTTGTCTTATAACAGGCTTATTCAAAGTGATACAAGCTACAAAAGTGAGATCTTGGAAGAGTGTTACTGTTTTCATAATGTAATAAAAATACTGTAATGATAAATACACCTCTACCTCGATATAACGCTGTCCTCGGGAGCCAAAAAATCTTACCGCGTTATAGGTGAAACTGCATTGTATCGAACTTGCTTTGATCCGCCGGAGTGCGCAGCCCCGCCCCCCACGGAGCACTGCTTTACCGCGTTCTATCCGAATTTGTGTTATATCAGGTCACGTTATATCGGGGTAGAGGTGTAATAATAATAAATAGTGTGTAATAAGCATATCATAAAAACAAATTTTATATTTCCAAGATCACTGCTTTTATAATTTATACTCAGGTAAAGGAGAAAATCCCTGGAAATATTCATTTTTAGGAGGGGGTTCGTGAGAATTGACATTTTAGTGAAAGGGGTTCACAAGTTGTTAAAGTTTGGGAACCACTGAGCTAGACTGTTCTCAGTGGTAGCAGATGACAGAACAAGGAGTAATGGTCTCAAGTTGCAGTGGGGGAGGTTTAGGTTGGATATTAGGTAAAACTTTTTCACTAGGAGGGTGGTGAGGCACTGGAATGGGTTACCTGGGGAGGTGGAGGAATCTCCTTCCTTAGAGGTTTTTAAGGTCAGGCTTGACAAAGCCCTGGCTGGGATGATTTAGTTGGGGATGGTCCTGCTTTGAGCAGGGGGTTGGACTAGATGACCTCCTGAGGTCCCTTCCAACCCTCATAGTCTATGATTCTATGAACTGTATCTGGTGTATAAATATTGATTTTAATATTTCATAGTTATGCTTTGTGACTGATGTATTTCTAATAGGCTTCCTGAAAAGGGGCTATTTCTAGTTGCACGGTAATGAAACAGTCTCCAAAAGTTGCAGAAGGCCTTCAAAGAGACTAATGAGACATTACATAAAACTCCTAAAACACTAAGCTCCTCAAACCCGTATCAAAAGTGTTCCATGGAAATGGTGAAAACCTTGTATTAAATGCATACCAGCACCCATGCCAACAGGAAAAGAAGAAAAGAAATGAGAATTGAACGTAACCTGGCCTAAGGGGGAGAACTGTTACGGCGCTGTCAGGCGATTACCCTGGTAAAGGCGGGGGGTGCCCGTGCAGACGATGCGTGGCTCTAACCGGCACGATTCGGATTGCCAACCAGGGCCTAGTGTCGATAGTGGGCACGCAGAAGGGTCAAATCCTGATTGATTGCGCCACACGCTGGGCTTAGTGTCACTTTCCACAGGCACCGCCGCCTCCAGCCAAGAGAGCCGCAACCCCCGGCACGGGCAGCGCCGCCAGGGCGGGCCCTACAACAGATGCCGGGGGGGGCGCCCCGGGCCTCACCCTCAGCTGGCGCGGGGGGGGCAGACTGAGGGGCTTTGAGAGCTATGCCTCAGGTGGAAGCGTGACGCGGTGCTACTGGCCCGTGACCTTTACGGATGCGGGCGATAACGGCGGGCTTCTGTGCGGGAAGGTCGTG